ACTCACTCACTCACTCACTCACTCACTCTCTCGATACTGAAGATCAGATGAGATGTCCAGAAAGAAAGAATAAGCAACAAGGAACTCTGGCTGGCTGGCTGGTGACGAACCAATCGAGAGTGCATTTCCATTTGAGTGTGCAGAGGAGAGTGGAGATGGATTAGACTGGGGATGCACTGAGAAGGAAGACGTTTTGTTGACATCATGCGCCTGACCAGGCGAGACTAGGTGAGGCCAGGTTGTCGAGTGGAACCCGAATGGGAAACGACGAGTTGGGTATCTGAGCTGAGGGTGACATTGAGGAGATGGTGTGATGAAGAAATGGAGGCTTGTGATCAGTGATGGAGCCAGACTGAAATGACTGTTGAGAAGAGAGTGAAATGGATGGGTGTTGCTGAATCTGTATGCCCCTCTTTGAACCCCAATTGACGATTTATGATGGTAATAAATTTGCAACTTTTCATTGTAATCTGCTACATCCTATTTGCTTTGTGAGAAGCACGGTAGTGCAATATTTCATTGACCACTGTTTTAGGTGATCGGTATGATGTCAGTTGTTTTTTTACTTGAATTACTACTCCGAAGCTTTGCTGCTATTCGGATATTTTTGTAAAACTTTTTGACGGCATTGGTCTTCCGAATATTTCCCTATGAATAACCAAATTTTATGATGCTGAATACCCTAACATCTCGAAATATATCTAGGAAGGTTACAAGTCCACCTCACTGTCGATGAGCTTCACAGTTAAAGAGTCATAAAACTGGGTGAACATTACTGTGACCACTTGAAAACTGGTATTGCTCGTTTAAAATATGGAAACAGTAGCTATAAGTGCTAACTGTTTTCCTTCTACTGATACAATGTACATTTTATGCAGCATACGACCCTTCCATATATTCACGTTGCATTTTTCTCAGAGTAAAATATCACATTTAGTAGCTTTTGTTTCGTGAGGTACATTAAAGTCTAATTTGAATATTTTAAGAATAATTCATTGTAGAACATGAACAGTGAGTTAGACTTTTATCGGTTGGATATTCGATTGTTTTTGTTTACATAGCATATAGTGGGACAGTATCACATACTGGATATCGAGAGGACAGTATTGTATTACTGTTTGCTAAATCAAATTAATGAATCAAAAACTGAACAACATCCGACGGTTTTCGTGTTAAACAAAACAAGTTCACCTCAATAGTTTTATATACAATTCGTGTTCCAGTTATTCATAGTCTATTTAGCGGTATTTTTTTTAATGCTTTGACTGATGGTTCATCAAAGTATGGTATATTGTTTCTATCGGATGACTTTTTACTGACCGATGATGTCTGGTGGCATGGTCTAGATGAAGAAAGTCTCAAAATTATACTCTTGTCTAGATCAAATTCTTATTATGCTCTATCGTGCGTTCCCCACTAATGTATAATTAGTTGAGTTATGGACGATGAAAAGTAATCCAGAAATTCTTTAAACATTTTTTTGAGTATAAAACAAACATTGTTATAAGCAAACTTCTTTTCAACAAACTTGAAAAGGACGACATTCATATTAAAATGTGACCTAATAACTGATAGGTTTTAGATTAACTTTAATTGACGTTAATCATTAAAATCCTTCAAATAGTGAAGGAATGAACTTCATTGACTTTTCAAATATTTGCAAAATGCGAACGCCAGAATTTCGTATTTCAGTTTATTTTTATGTATACAGAAAGACAGACAAAATCGACGTAGAACCTCGTAAATAAATGCATTAGTTCAAGTTGCCACACTTTGAAGTAGCACGCCAAAAACAAGTAGATAGAAACGACTGATATTAAAGTAGACAAAAGGAGAGGAGAGAATTTAAAAATTAGGGTTAGTTAAAGCTTGAATGCTTCAGAAGACGTCAAGGAATGAGCCGTCAACCGCTGATTCCTGTCAGCTCGAGGACCTTAAGTTAAGTGTCTACACGGCTAATACCAACAGTCATGGAAACTATACACTAGTGCCACGTCCTAATCTGGCCATCCTTCACCCTCTTCCGAACTAATTCAACTTACCTTGAAATGACAAGCTGCGGTAGGCAGTGGCTAGGCATGTGCAGCACGTGTCCATGTTTCTCAGTCTGTCAGGGTTCATAACCTTACGGAGGCAGTCGCCTACCCTTCATTTGACATTCGCATTGTTTACATGATGATTCAGTCATACGGGGGCTGCGTTACAAACACACCTGTAATCATAAACTTGTAATACCTTCATATATTCTACTTTTAACGGCCACATCTCTCAGACGTATAACAGGACAGAATGGACTGTAGCGCAGTATACTTACCCTTTGGTAGGTAGTCGAATATCTCAGCAGTCGGCCGCAGAGATGACGCAACTTCTCTGGTACCAGATGGTCCTTCTGTTCTTCGTCAGCGACCAGCCCGTTCATGCTGACGCGACGCGCCAAGTAAGTTTATTAATCAACTCATTTCACCACTTCACTCCTTATCCATACACTAGAAGTGGTGTCAAACCAGTCTTGGAACATCATTTTACATTTAAGTGTGAACTGTTTGCCAAACATACTCAGATTTCTTCTCAACGCTCTCATAAGACCCTAGATTTCGTTACCATCTTCACCTAGCAGGATAATTTTGTCTGTGTGCTCTAAGTCGAACAGACGGACTCCAGAGAATCCCTGTAAATTTGTAGATATCTAAAGTTATGTTCATTAGTATGCATTTAACGAAGTTAGACAGGAGCGGTGACTGCAGGCACCCTTGGTGGGTATAACTAGTTATCATCAATTCACGTGATAACTCTCAATAGGCCTATATACGGCTGGTGAGTTCAGGCAAACAGCCTTGATTAGATTTACACACTTGCTGGGTAACCCCTTCACAGTTAAACGCTGTCACAGCACCTTGAGGTCGGAAGAGCTGAATGCCACCTTCTGATCAAGAAAAATGGTAAGTCTCGGTCATCAGTGAGTATGTCTTTGTTCCAGAACCTGTTGGAGGGTAAACGTCTGATCAGTGCACCCTCATCTGGGTCGAAAATCTGACCAGTTTTCTCGATTTGTGGTTCTGAAGACCCCGCAAGCGTTGGGTAACTATGAACTATAGAGTATCTTGTATACGATATTAGCTAAATTGATACTTCTATGGTTGTCGCAAGCAAACGTTGCTTTCCTATAAACTGTAATGATCAGCGAGGTAAACCTATCTGATGGGAACACCTCCCATTCCCATATGCTGCTTGGTAGCCCTGTTACTCTACTCAGTAACTCCCCGTTTCCGTTCCAGAAAACCTCGCGTGACGCAGTCAGATTCTGGTGATTTGGATCATTTCAGGTTCAAAACAGCCTTCTCCACTTCAAAAAGAGTTAGACGATGAACACCTACGTCCCATTCAGGTTCAGGCTGGATGCTACGCAACGTAAGCGTTGCTGAGGGTTAGTGCTTCAAAGCGTTCCGCCCAATGTTCTAGCCACCTATCCTACGAGGTTTTCAGTGCTCTATCCCTTTTGGTGATGGTTTCACTAACAATAGTCGTCGTCTTACCAGTATCCTTAATAATCTGAAACACTTGCTGGGTGTTACCTAACGCTGATTCTTTCTCCATGTACCTCAGTTTCACCCCCCTCATTACTAACCGTAATCGATGAAGAGACTCTTGTTCACTTTACGTTTCAGTTGTGTTCTGTCTTCGCTGTTGTCAGAGCCAGCTGGAATCAGTCTTCTCATATCAGTCAGTTCGGATGATGTTGTCGAAATCTAATGACGCTTGCTAACCTTATAATGTAGGTTAACAACTGTCTTTATAGCTGTTTCTAAAGCAGATTTTATCACACAAGGCTTCCACGGAAGGAGTTTCGTAAACAAGCAGAGAACGTGAATTTATTCCATTACACCTATCCTTTTTCTGCCTTCTTGGCCAATCTGTAAAAATATCTCACAAGCTATACTAGTTCAAATAATAATTAATTTTATCCATTGAAACTTTTAATACCTTGTTGTTATAGGAGATCAACTTTATCGATCTCTACTGGTATGTGGGCTCCTACACAAATACCTTGGTATTGCCTGAAGATTCAGTATGCTGTAATTTGCTATGTTGTGGCTGCTAGCAATATCCAGGATACACAAATTACAAATATTATTAATAATAATGAGAAATGATACCAACGAAGATGCACCGAGTTATTTGACTGAAATAGATGTTCTGTGTCAAGGTTGCTAATCACATGAACTATTTCGTTATGTCATATTAATCAGAGTTTATACCTTAATTATTTTAGAAGGGTGCTGACAATGTTATCTTTCAATATTTGTGCACAGTTATTAATAAAGTGTCATGCATAGGATGACACAACACATTCGTAAAAGCATTCAATGAAAGCCAAAATTTAAACGAATAAGTTCATGTTATTGAAATTAAGTTCATCAAGTCTGTTTCTATGTGATACTCGATTAAAAGATGCTCTAGTATGGAATTTAAACACTCACTATCAAATTGTATAGTTTTTAGCACAAATATTCTAAAATGATCAAAATATCCGGATTTTTTTCAAATATGTGAATGCACATTATTTTGATAAGCACCTCAAAGTCAAACATAATACCTGATTTCTTTTTTCTAATTCATTTTTTTTATCTCAGATTTCCTAACAATTTGTATAAGGGAATCCATCCAGTTGTAACCGAAAACTCTAGTCTTAAGTTTGGTGAGTTTTGACTCGAAAAATACGTGTCCGTTATTTTGTTAGGCAGTGGGTTATTTTCACTATATAAGGAGATAGGAAGCGTTGAGGTTGGCCAACAGGAGTTCATTTGAAATAAGGACTCATCACTTGCTGAAACATAAGACCGTAGTTTTATGACTTCTACAATGTACTACTAGAGTGAATAAAATACACTAACTCAGTGAACTTAGGAACTATTATTCATTTTGTTTAAATAAAGCGCAAAAGTACGGTAATATTCATCAATACATGCAAATAAGTATGCAATGTTCAAGGTCTTACTTACTCATATTCTGACATAATTTCCTTCAAAAACTGCAAAGCTTCTTCATCATAGTAAAGTCCATTTGGATCTTTCTGACATTGCACTATATCTGCATGAGTTCCAATCAGAATAATACGAGCCATTTGTGTAGGTCTGCCTCCAAATACTTCACAAAAGATGATCAAGTGTACAAATATAACTGATGATTTTAAATCGAGCTTAAGAAGAAATAGTTTTGTATAATATGCCGTAAAAGAATAACAGAAATCAGGTCCCTAATCACAGATGACTGAGTACAAAACGTTCACTTTTGTAACCTTCAATAATTTAATTGTTCACCGGTTGTTTTGAACAGTAAGTTATACTATCGAGGAGGTTTCTTATAACATATCAGATATTTTTATCTGATATGGCGCATACTGACATAGTATTATTCACATTAGTTGGTCACTGGAGAGCGACTAACTTCACGTTGTCTAGTCCTAAGTGCCAATCGAATTCTATCAATCATTTTGCCATGTGACCACTAGGCTAGTTGATACAACATCGTGATACACTTCGATATATGTTGGCTGGAAAGAGGCAGTCAGCAGGAAGCTCTGAACGTAGACTTCGCGCATTTTGGAATTCGTCAGCAAGGCGTATGTGAAACTCCTACAGAACTGATGCCACGCATAAGATTCGAATAGCTCAGTGGTAAAGTCTGTGAGTGAAGCATTGGGTAATGTGGAGTCGAATAGCAAGTAGGACAGTTTCTCAGAGGTTGCAGACACACCTTGTTGACGTGTAGAAGAGGTCTTGGGCTTCCTGCCGACTGTCTTCAACAAGCTAACAGTATAATTTACTTGATGACGTTTCAAGTATAAATTATTGTTCTTATGCATATCAGTGTAATGACACCACTCAACAGTCAAGTTTTGTAGCCCTATCATCTCATATTCTTCGGTTTCATTGGAAGTTAAATTTTCAGTGCCCCTAGTATAGCTGTACCATCATTCTCATTACAAAGGAGACTCTGAACTTCTTTCTACTCGCATTGTCACTATTTCTGCATTCGTATTACTGTTATCATTTTGTTTCTTATGTGTTCATACAAATTTTTGAATAAAGCGTAGAGGATATTCATTAATTGCTAAAGTTTTTTTTTTACGTGTTTCGACTCCTTTTTTAAGTCCTTTCACTGATTAATGAGTTTTTGAGCTATATGGCAACAGCTTTGAAAACAGTCATACGAATGCAAAACTAACGACAACACGAGTAGAAATAAGTTCAAAGCCTCTTTTGTGTTACTCAGTAAGGAAGGAACTTCAGGAACTTTACGTAGGACTCTAAACAAGGATGGAATTATGGTGGTATTTAAACTCAGAAGTTAACTTTGTCGGTTGTCCCATAGATCTCATTCAGAAAAATATAATCTTGTCTACCAAATCCCGTGCAATGATTTTCAGGTTAAGTACATGTGTCAAAGTAGCGAGCCGGAGTTGGTTAAATTAGCCAAATGTGGAAAGACAGGCCCCCATAGGATCAATAATATTGGGAGAACCCGGACATTGCAATACATACACTAGCATACAACCACACAGTAGGGTTGGATAAAACCACTGTACATTCAATTCACTTTAATATAGTTAGATGGAGAGAGAGACTGATTGTTTGATTACTTGATTTTTCTTCATCGACTTAACACCCAACACATGTAATAAGAATGATGAAACACCACTTATACCAGAGATATGGAAATCTTAACTTCAGAAGAATACGAGGTGACAGGGTATGAAAACTCGTTTGTCGAAAGTGGTGTGATTACATCGATTTGAATAAGAGGAACACTTCACGCTTGGAGCGTCACGAAGTAAATAATACTGAATCACTGTAAGTTGTATATCAAGTAAGGCAACCTAATATGCAATTTCATCCTACTACATTTTCCAAGTTTTTGCTGAGATTTCTCATAAACTTTAATTTAATTGTGCTAATGATAGTCTGTGATAGACTTAACGTCGCTGACTTATTTCCAAGAGGGAGGATACGTTTCTGAATCCAAGCTAAAACCTAGTTCAGTAGGATGTTTGGAACTGCAGAACCAAAATATCAAATAAAAATCCGTGATATGTAGATTTGTTTCTAAACAGCTTTGTATCACATTGTATGAAAAATTTGCTGACATTTTCACTTCACAACTGAAATGTACATTTTCGTTTCGATCATAAGATCAATCATAATATGACGGAAATTGTTCATAGCACTTTAGCATATTAGTTTTGATAGTCAGATCAACTGGAAAAATGATAGGGGACTGAAAATCAAAGAAGCAAGACAAAAAGCAAACGAGCGAAGGAACATGGTGTGATTTCATTTACAAGTAGGTTATGTGAAAGAAAAAATGTAAATATCAGCCAGACACAGTGTGAAATGATAAGAATATAAATTTTAACGTATATTTAAATAAAAGGTGACATAAGAGTTGTCAGAGATAAATTTTCCAAGATGTTCTTCTTACCGTTAGTTATTAAACCCTAAAGTACATTTAACACGTCGTTAAAGCATATGAATATTCAGTGACGAAAAGTTACTAGTTTTCAACGAAAGTTTCGCATTATAACTGTATACAAATTAAAGATAGTCTACTTGATTTTCTCAAAATTCAAACAACCGTATCTCATCTACACATCTGTTCGATTACACAGTAAATATAATGAATATATCTATAAATATAATTCTTGGCTGTCTTATAATCTAAGTGTTCACTGTTTTAATAGGTAAATAGTACTTAGATGAACAGAAGAAATTTACATTTTAACAAGTGTTTAGTTTTCAGATCATCAATCGTAACCTAAATTAATCAAGTTTAAAGTTCAGGAATGTTGAGTTGTAGGAAATGGATTTAAATCTGTGAAAAAGTACGGTATTATATCGAGCCATCATTCCACTGTTCTGCTAAAAGCATAGAAGGGTAAAGTTAGTGTCTTCCGCTTGTCAATTTTCTGAATATGATATTCCACGAGTGCATGTCCTAGGAATATGATTTACTACTGAGTGGATCCTGGAATTATTTGATATGAAGTTCATATGTGCACAAATATACATTCTGTGAAATGAATGCTACATCGAAAAAAAGTTCCATTGTCATTCTGAACAATGAAGTCAGCATACACTAATATAAATTGTTGGTAACTGCTGTACCAATCTGATTCCAAGCTCAGAGAATACAACGTGACTTAATTTCAATTTCAGGTCTGGAGATATTTCAGCCATTTTAACAGTGCTGTCTATTTTTCTATTCTGCACGTTTCATCAGAATGTTAAGCAAAACTGTCACTAGTTTAAAATGTGCCAAATGGTTTATACAATTTTGATAAGAACACAAAATTGATTTTTATTAAAATGGTAACTTTGTTTACGAAGGTACTATCCTTAGTGACCTCCAAGATTCTTATGCCAAATATGCGAGAACTCAGCAGACAGAACAAAGATATAATGTGAATGGAATTCACTTTCTTTGTTAAATTCTTACCAAAGATTAATGGTCTGCTTTTGCTGGATGTGATAAATTTCATTTAATTTGATCACTAAAATCAACCAAGACTCAGTTGATTAGAAATATGTTAAAATACATGCCAGGTGATTCACAATGGAAAGCTCAGTGATGCCTTTGAAGACCGATCATCTTCTTGATTGTGGTCTACTGGACTCGACTCGACTCGACTGGAATGGAATGGATAATGCGAAAAACTGTAAGGAGAGAGAAGAGGGGTATACGCTGGCTGGACCGCTGAAAAGATCACAGAAGGAGATTTGGATTTCGCCGCCAATGATGATTTATGTCCAGTGTCTCGTCTCACAAACTAGAAGATCCACAGGCAAAAAACCAACAAGTTGACAGAAGAGGTGAGGCAGTGAAGACGAGACTGACTCCAGGTGGATGTAGAGATGACAGAGGTGCTGGAGATATTTAACCAACACCAACACGAACAGCAGCAACAGCAACAACAACGGGCACCAGTCACCATGAACGGGATAAATCTAAAGGAAGTTATCTCTTTCATCTACCTAGGTAAGGCAGCATCGTTTCAACTACGGGCAGTGGCAGTGGCGATGAAGGTGGTGGCGGCGGCACAGATAAGGACTTTAGAGGAGCCGGGATCGGAAAGACAGCAAGACAGGCCTTCATTAACCTGAAATCAGTGTGGAGATCTGCTGCACTGCACTGCACTCAGCAGAAAGCGTGAACAAGATTTGCATTTTCAACACTCATATCAGTCAGGTGTGTCAGTGCTTCCATGTGATGGCTGAGAGTGTTGGTGGCGCGTCACAAAAAGCATTTCCAACAAACTACAGACATACATCACATCAACAGATGCCGCCTATGCTGGCGCGCTCGCTCACTCACTCACTCACTCACTCTCTCGATACTGAAGATCAGATGAGATGTCCAGAAAGAAAGAATAAGCAACAAGGAACTCTGGCTGGCTGGCTGGTGACGAACCAATCGAGAGTGCATTTCCCTTTGAGTGTGCAGAGGAGAGTGGAGATGGATTAGACTGGGGATGCACTGAGAAGGAAGACGTTTTGTTGACATCATGCGCCTGACCAGGCGAGACTAGGTGAGGCCAGGTTGTCGAGTGGAACCCGAATGGGAAACGACGAGTTGGGTATCTGAGCTGAGGGTGACATTGAGGAGATGGTGTGATGAAGAAATGGAGGCTTGTGATCAGTGGTGGAGCCTGACTGAAATGACTGTTGAGAAGAGAGTGAAACGGAGGCGTGCTACTGAAGCCACATGTTTCACTAGGGACCCGAGGGACATATTTATAAATAATTAAATACTATGGTATCAGAAATATTTTTATAATAAATAGTGCAGACACAAATAATATTCTTGGAATATCAAGCTTTCTTGTTCGTTAATCCACCAAAGTCCACTGACCTCTTCGTACGTGTTAACAACATGAAAATCATTAACAGTATTTAATACTGATCTTGTCTATGTTTTTTTAACGTTGCAATGAATCTCAGTGTTAAATTAATTTCTGCTGAAACTGATTTCTAACTATCAACTAAGACTGTTGTTTTGATCTGCAGTGTTTACGTGAATGATTTAATGCTCAGATGCGATGAGATTACCGACAGAACAATGTTTTGTCAAGATGATGTTCAAGTGATACCAGAAGAAGTCAGTGGGATTGAAAATATATCCACTTCAACGGAATAGTGAGATTATAGCTGAAAATTCAGCCGTTTACAAACCTTTATAACAAACTTGGCCAGGGACAACAAAATAGCATATTAAAAGTGCAAGATGTATCAATCAGCTTTTAGTGTCTCAAAGAGAGGTAAAAATAAGTAACACTGGGTGAAGCGAAAAAGGCTCGAAAATAACGTTTCAATTTTTAAAATGAAATATATGCGTGTGATGAACTTGTTTGTTAGAGACTAAACATCCCCGGAAACTGTACCAACACGATATCACAAATGCATGGTCAGTGAACCTTACTATCAATGATAAGGTTAATCCAATCTCATTTTAGTGAGAATAATTAGTGGTATCACACAGCAGGGTTTGTTTGTTAAAAATGATGCCCTACAATAGGTTTCATGCCCATTGACACATTTCCTGGGAATAGACGCAAGCTGAAATCTGCATTATACAACACTCCAGTTAGGGCTATTACCGAGGTGATTTCAAGCAAACAGACTCACTGCATGTCTAAGGATCATTTACTGAAAAGTCGTGTCATACAGAATTTCTGTGACCAGTAGATGTTCATAATACGATAAAGATAATGACTGACAAAGGATGTAGGATGCTTCAGTAGTTTTAAAGGCAGTTACAAAGTATTTGTGACAGCTGGATGTTGTTTCATAAAAATGTGTTAGGACATTTATTCACGAATCAGTCTATTGTTTTTTCCATGAAGGCGAAACAGTGTACTGATGTCTATTCTAAACTGTCTGGCAGTATAATTTATAAGGTGCATTCCTTTGCATTAGGAATCAAATGGTCTATTCCTGCTGGCATTAAATATTTTATATTTTTTCAATCTGATCTCTACAGAAACTGTATATCACCTAACAGTTTTTCAAAATGATCAAGATGTTTTATTTTGTATGCTCTGAAAAATGGCAAATGCTTTGAGATTTTATCACTTTTCGACTGTGAAAAACGCTTCACATGTTGAACTTCCTGTTAATATTAAAGGGTAGGTATAACATTTGGATCATGGGAGTTGTAGTTAATAAATCAGCAAAAATATATTGATTCATGAAGTTGCTTCTTTATACTTTACAATTAGTATAATTGGCAGTCAAAATATACGAGACCAAAAAAAACCAATCGTAACGGTCATGTATAAGAATGTGACCGGTTATGTAGCAGAATCTTCTTGATACCTCGCAAAATGAAAGACAATGTACAAAATCACTTATCTGCATATTATAACTTGGTGGTATTCACAAATATGAATCACTCGTGATGGGATTCACTACTGTCTTCTGGCAAATATTCTGAAGCTGGATCCTAAGGTTATGTAATGTATGTTAGTTATACTAATTTTAGCTCATGAAATAAGTAGAAGTTGATACACTAATGAATAAACACAACACAAAATGTCAGTGAAAGAGTTTTAGAGACCACGTATGACTTACATAGAGGGCCTATGATAGGTATTCGTGCATGCAAGAAATCAAGCCAAAATCGCACACTTTTACGTCTCCATTCTAATGAATCCATTAAATTGAACAATACCAAGTGGATACAGTTAATGTCGCCAATGAAATGATCGTAAAAACAGTAATAAGATTGAAATCCAGAAAAATCCCATAGACTATACTCGTTTGTAACTGTCAGAAAGAAAAACAACAATAGTATGCAAACAAGAATTTAAAATGAATGAAAGTTTTCCTCCTGCTATGCGGAAACGTTACAAACATAAGATAAAAATACCACTTAGATATACGTCTTGTATTGTTAACTTTGTGCTAAACTAGTTAATTTTGATCTTGTGACATAATATTAGAAGGAATGTCAGACACATAAATCAGACTGTATAGTCGCAGTTATAGAAGAATAAAGAGTTGTCTTTCGAAGCATTTCTATATATTGAAAGGCAGTCCGTTTCAGAGAGCAGTTTTTCTGTTAGTGATAGCAAATTTTGTAGATGAATAATAATAAAACTAGTACATACCACAAAAATCCTTGTAGATGTAAACGGAGACTATGATTTGAGTTAGTAATAAAAGAAAGATAATGCTTTCGGATGCATTGCGAAGTTTTTTTCTGTTTGTACAACATAGATGAATTGTGTACATTAGTTGGTTTCGTAGACTTAGAATGGAATCATTACCTATGGCAATCCGTTCTATGTATTATAACAAGTACTTTGATTGACAATAAAGAAGGTCTGATAGCTAAACTAATCACCTCCAACGGACGTTCATCATCAGTATGGTTTAAGAAATTTGCTGTATAAACCTGATAAGTCAGTTAGTTTTATTGGTGAGCTCGATATGTAAACTAACGAAACAATCATCCCATTTAACAGATAACCTCGATCTGGCTTCTAAGTGCTGATAATTGATGGCATTGGATTACACCTTTTCACACCTGTAAATTACAAACTGCTTATCAAATAAGAAACACTGGTTTGAAATTTACTTTCAAATCATCACCTCCGTTTTTGGATACTAATTACAAGGAGATGTCTGAGTTTAGTATACATCAAAATATGTATGAAACAACTCAAAAATTTCAGGCCACTTTATGCTTTCACCACGTTCGTAAATTAGCAATGTCCTCTTCAGTATTTGGCAGCTACATGTCAAAAGTTGTGTAATTTGAAAAAAGATTCAGATAAAAATCCTGAGGTCAATCTAATTTACATCCCAGATTGGTCTTCATATTCAAAGTATAATACACAGCTCAATATATTGCCCATATTCCTTACTGTTATAAAGATCACAACACAATAAGCATTTATTCGTGTGTCGTATTGCCTTATAACAATTTCTGTCAGCTTTTCACATATCTTGTAAATATTGATGATAAATTAACACCAATGATAGATGAGATGAAAATTCCGGTAAGTTTGCTGAATGAAAGTGATATATTGACAAGCATTATTTATTGATTACTTTTTTCGTCACGATATGCAACACAACTAAACAGCAACAATTCATTCTACCTTCGTTGATTAAAATCCCTTCAGTTACTTTGGGGATTATATTCAAAATTCTAATGTGAATTTGAATAAACAATTATCTTACATGAAAACAACACGCTCGCAACCTTAATAGTGAAAATTTGAAGGTCTTATTCCCTACAGACTGAAAAAACACATAAGCATTCATTGAAAACAAGGCAACAGTTGGCAACAGTTTCACTTTTCCTCAAGAACTACTCAGCAGTATACATCCTAAAATCTAATAAAATATGGAACTCAGAACTCTCATATTTCTCAACCAGCATCCTGCCACGTAATCAGTGATCCCTAATTTCTAATCTTAACCAATGATTGAAACAGTATGACTGATAGTTACTTAATGATGGACTCTAATTCACACCTCATTAGAGCACAAATTATTCACTTTAAATGCAGTCACAAATGAGCGTTGACATATTATTCATTTATGCCCTTTATCAATGGTTCACTCAAGCCTTCATCAAAATTTCTACGACGTTTACTGTCCATCAACTTCATAAGAAAACCAGAGTGATACCTATCTTCCAACCTACTTTATGTTAAGCCCGATTCCCCGTCTCTGTCGATCAGGAAAATATGTACCAAGCATACTGTCAGCGAACAGAATCAGGAAACTTAGAGAAATACTGTAAAAGGATTCTTATTGACATAAAATAGTTGAAAATCTAAAACGACAGGGCATGATTAAAAGTAAACATTGGTCTTTGAAGATGAAGTTTCTATTCAACCTCCAGTTGAAGCTTAACAGTGCCGTGGGTATTCGAAAGAAAAGGTTATCTAATTACGGTAATTTGATTGGTTTTGGCTAGCAGAGGAATCCAGGACTCATATTTCGTCCTATTTGGGACTTGCAAACTGGACGTACCTGCACTATCAATAAAATAGTAATAAAAAATTGTCTGTTAACAAATTACACCTGTGAGAAATATCCAGCCTTGGTGATAGAGTAACAAACAGGAATCGTGTGTGGTTCTGACATGACATTCTGTTAATTGATGACGCTAAGTTACTTCTGAAAAATTCTTGAAGTCACGCAAACTTTTAAGTTAAGTCACTGAGAAGGAACCAGAACTGACCATTTGATCGCAATCAAGTTATAACTAAAGCCAAAAGCGCAGATACCTGCCATGTGATGAAAAGAAGGAATTACAACTTCCATCTTTGCTTTGGATATCATAAAGATTTTATCACTTTGGATGAGTTCTTTATTTCCTTGTCCTAATTTATTTCATTTTCTGAATTCTTATTTGTGTTGTGAAATGATTCGATTAATCATTGTATTTTAATCCCTGAACAAAAATTGTTCTGAATATTTTTATACTTCCAAGTTTATAGTGACTAATGAACTGGCTAGAAATATTTTCGTCAGAAAGTGGATTTATTTTCTTTTGTTTCTGCTAGGATTTCAAGTTATAAATCATACAGGGTGAGTGGTTATTCACTTATCTTTACTAACTTGCTGCGAATTTCTAATATAACTATATGACCTGTGGCATGAATCAAATTAGAAAAGAAGCAAACCAATTATACGGTTAAATTGTCCTGCTTATAGTCTGGTAACATGTACTATTTAATTTCATATTAACCTTGATAATCGCAGGTTCTTTTTACAGTATCCTCAAGAATGCAGAAGGCTTAAGCATCTCAAGTTACAGTCAGGCAACTCATCAGTGACGTTTGGTTTTCACATAGTCACAGGTGATAATTGTTACTATATAAAACTGCATTTTAAACAATTACCCTCAAGCAAACCATTCAAACGAAAAGCAAAAATCACCTAGTTTTTTGTGACTTAACTAACCAACAGAATGAAGTTTCAGCCTATTTCAATCTTTTCTTCTTCAGAGCTAAATACCCAACAAAAGTCAGCTATCATGAAACTATTTCATGGACATTAGCGATACTCTTGTAAACATCATAAATTTCGGCTTTTTGCTGAACTTGTGTTTAATTCTCTTCTAAAACAGTGATGCAACTTATCATTAACTGTGATGAGTAGTTAAGTATACAGTAATCTGCCACTGAACCATTGGATTCCAACCCACAAGGTTGAGTGGTAACATGTACGGTGTGAAACCTTGGGGTTCTGGCTTACATCCGTGGTGAGGTAGTGGGTGTACACTGCTGAGGAGTCCCTTGCTAGAACAAAACAGCTGTCCACTGTTTCCAGGTCTCCCATGGATTTTTAACTGATGTTCAAACTGAATTACTAGATAGTAAGTTGACAATTCCTTAGAGGTAAGTGGTTTTGTTCGTCAAGCTTACAAACTGACTGTTTCTCCTTCTCTCAGTAAAAATTATTACATTAATATTGTTAGATACATTTTTGTTGAAATTTTTTGAATTTGGTTTATTCAAACTGGGTATTTTTCCCACTCACTCGTCTAACTGTTCACAAACACTGTTTGCCATTTAGAAATAAATATTTAGCTGTTAAAGTTTTCCTATGGTTTATTTTCACTGTATATCCACAGTTTCTACTTTCACCGTTTGAGTAATTGAATTTTATGATTCAGTGTAAACAGGAAGTATATCTTCACAGACACTTCAAATAATTATTAACTGAAGCTAAAATTGATTTTAATGAAGGCTAAGCACCGGTGTTAAATGAGACGTGGGACACTGAAGATACTGTAACCTTGCTTCGGATACTCGACAGAAGTTTAAAACCTTGACAACTTGCCAAAGTGGACTTAGAACACAAGGTTTATATTTTAAACATACCATTATTGAGTCTTATTAGCGAAATATGTCACCTTCTGAGGTGAATTTTCATTGATCTGAATTAGTTTATTCCACTGAAGAACACTTCTGTTGGTATCTTTCGAACGTCATTTGTAAATTAGACATCACTGTTGATCGGACAACGTAACGCAGAATAAATTCATGAGATTCAAACTAATAAAAATGGTGATATTGTATCATTCAGATGACTTGTAGCAAATTACCTACGGGCCAGGACCAAAACGTCCCTGATTTGATTCCTAGGTGTAATGAGAAGGGGTCATATAATAAACATCTGTAATTGTATGTATGAATTACTGAAGGGAGTCTGTAAGCAAAGAAAATAAACTCAGGTGTCCTGGCTGACCTCTATCAGCCACCTTGTACGAGATATGCTCAGATAACTGCATTTAGTATGTCTGTAAATGTTTCCCCTGAAAATACAATAAATCTGCCCAGCTGTTTTCAGAAATAATTCCAGATGATACAATAAAGGAGGCTTCTACCTTTAAACAAGTGGTTTACTTAGTGAAGAATGTTACTGTAATTGCATCTTTTCTAACTGCATGTTTTTTGAATAACTGCTACTGCTTTTTTACTCTCTATTTGGGGGAGAAACAAGATACTGCAGATATCTGTCATGAATACGATGTTCATGAGACTCCTAGAAATATGAAACATTCAAGTTGTCTCAAAAGCGCATCCGATATGGTCACAACTAATGAGAACTAATGTTCACAACAAATTATGAGAGCGAAATATGGATTCCAAGTGAGATAAGCGTATTAGCAAAACATTTGTTTTGATACCAATATTAGTCGGAGAAATTCTGACTACGCAGTTGTATTTGTGAAAATGCTCCCAACAGTAAATCTAACAATAAGATTAACAGAAAGCTTAGTTAAGGAATGCAGTGAAGAAAACCTTCATTCACTTGGTCAGCAGTTATTCTAACTCTCATGAAACTTCTTTTTTTTTCATTTTACTGGTGTTTTCCACTAGAAAACTGACATACGTAGCTATGTCTGTCTCAGTAGATAGTGGCAGGATGGTTGAGTGTATTCTTTGACAAACTACAATAAAATGATGTCGATCTTGATGAAACGAATCAAGGTAAAATTCTTAAAGTAAATTTATTCATCCGCCCAAATAATAGTCAAGTCTTGGGAAAGAACCGAAACAAGAAGGTGAAAACAGATAGAATCATTCAGAAAAATATCAATACCCATTGACATGGGATTAGTTACGTACAATAAACAACTTCACTATGAAATTCAGGGATACTCTGTTCCCCAAATAATTTGAAGTTTATGAGTATAATCCAGGAAGGGGAAGTAGGCCAATGAATGACTTCTGCTTCTAAAATTGTACAATGAATAACCACCATGAGTAACAAGACATATCTTCAGGCGATACTGTTTAGTATATCAGTCTAAAATAACCGCCAAAACTCAAAGATCATTAAGGTGGTTACAACAAATTACTGACTTGTGAAATCTAATTACTCAGATGATAAATAATATTTACTTTACGTGAAAATGAAATTTACAACTATGCAGTAAGATTAAATCAGCGTGATTAATTAAGCAGAATAATTTGAAGGAGCAAATTTCCAGTTGGATGAAATGAAATCGCAATTGTTTTTTCGATAAATATTTAGGTTATTGGATAACAAGTGTGAAAAAGGATTAATAATTTGAGTTGAATAAGTTTGTGATTTTATCATGATATGGAATTTACACTGCTTTATTATCACCATGTATAGAATAACAGTGTCCATTGATTTTACGACAAAGAGTAAAGACTTTTTTTACCGTTGTTTCTTTCAAATGCTCATGGAATCAACGCACTTAGGCCGATGCCTATTTTCAAAGCGTAATATACGTCTCTCAGGGGGTATAGTAACTAACATCTAGCTCTTCTTGTCAAAATTAGTTCACAATATTAAGATTCAGTAATTTGCCACAAAATTAGCTTTTACAAAACTTGATGATCATAACAAATCTCCAGGCTGGCAAATTGAAATCACTATCATCAGCTGTTACAAATCGTTATTCATGTCCTTAGGGGCGGTTGCTGTACTCATTTTACAACAACAACCTGGTTATATCTTCTCAATAGATAAAAACTTGCTCCTCTTTGTAGAGTAATTAGAAGTGTTGAATTTCTGAAGCAAAACCAGCCTTTCAATGCCAGTTTACCCTCTAAGATTAAAGCCATACTAGTCCAAATACACACTGTTTGTAAACGAAAATATTTTTATCTAGGAAATAACATGACAGAAAATGTTAACTACAAACTGGAGTAAATAAAATGCATAAGGCATACCGGCCCAGTAAAAAATATATCCAACAGCTGAGGTACAATATGATGAATTAGGCATTTGAACTTAAAACAGTAGGTTCCAAGTGCATACTTGTCTGCATGTGTTGTAATTTGACCTACTATTTACTGATGTTGACGCTGGAATAATAAATATGTCTTATAATCCAGTACATATATCTGTATATGGTTAGACAGCTGAGTTTGTTGTTCCATCCTCATAACCAGACCACACTTGTCTAATCACTTGTATACTGAGTGCTATTCGAATTGTATTACCAAAGCTTACCATCTAAACAAATCCATGCTTCTTGATGGCCAAACTGAAGCAGTTCTGGTAACGAAATGTCATCTACAAGTTTACTAAGTGTTTTCAGTTAACTGATTAGGAATCTGTCAAAGAACACTTTCTTCAACCCTTTTTGAAAATTCTCAGTTTACATACCTTGTTCAGACTCCTGTAGTTTTTAAATACCCTGTCTCTAGTTTTGGATTAAAACAGGTATCTTTGATAACCTGCAAAAAAGTGAAGGAGACCTTAATTCCCAAAGATAATTAGTAGATTAGATTTTCCTGTTTAGAAATGAGTAGACCAATAGAGTTAAAGAAAACGTTGGTGTTTATTGGTTAGATGAGTCTACTGATCAGATGTAATTTACGGATAAAACTAGCTCAAAATCAACTGTATGTAGGTAGACACATTCATTTCAATGGATATCTTTTTATTATTTGTGGGTTGCTAAATTATTGCTTCATCTTTACAGAAGTAAGCCTAATTAAAAATCTGTTTCTATTCCTTTTTATGACTAGGAGTGTACACCGCAGTTATATAGACTAACATGCATACTGGGTAAACGTCCGATACATGTTAGGAATAGCAATCATTTTTTCATTTCACAAAAACATTTTTCCTATTGGGTTGTCGAGGTATGAAAATTTACTTTGTTGACGTCATACCGTGCGTTCACGATTTTTAATCCATCCTTATTTTAATCAATGAGCTAATTCAACTTCTTATCTTCAGATGATTGTTAGTCATCTATATGGCTTGATCTGCATAGAATTCGTATGGTTTCCTATCTGAAATGAATATTTAAAATGAGTTCTTGAGGATGGTTAAATTTCTTGTTTTTCCTACCTGAATATATAATTTCTTCTCTTTGGACTGAAAGGATCGTCATAGATCTTGAATATTTTGAACCAAATCCAGTAGTTGTAAAGCAAAGAGATCAATAAATATACAAATTCGTCAACGTTGTCTAAATTATTGGTGTAAAATCAAATAGATGAAGCGTTAAGTTGCGTCCATCCACTTCATGTTTATACTCTGCTTACTCATAAGTAGTTGAAGGATTTAACAAAATTCACTATTCATTGTCCATGGTGAAGTCGTGCACTATACAAAGTCTCATATTTTTGCTACAAAATCTACTATTTAAACCAAGTAGAATATACCTACTAACTGCAACCAGTTGTTAAATCATATTTTTCTACGATATCTGGTGAATTACTATAGCTGTAGTCAGATACAGATGGGAAATTTAAATGCATAGTCCCAAAAGACTCCGAATTTTAGAAAAGTAACCGTTTTAGGATGATTCAGTCACTTCCTTGATAGTGAACTAAACAGTTAGTACACCAGTAGCACGGAAATAAATAAGTAAAAATGGCACCTCCATTTTCCTGTTTTTGGTTTACAAACAGTTCGCATGATTTGCGTCTTAAAAGCCGCATTTAGTCTAAAGATATTTAAACTATAAGGAATAATAAATAAATATTTTACCGACTGTAATTTCTAGGAGGATGAGAAACAGTTTAAAATTCGAAGAGATACAATGAAACGTGAGATATCTGAAAGAAGCTAGTTGTCACAATTAAAATGAGTAACAATATACATGTAGTCTAGTTGAGTGACGACTGAACTTGAAACGGTAAACTACATTGCAGTAAAATTTACATCATTGACCACGGAGTAACCGAAGCAGGACTTGAGGAAGTAAGTTACAAGACCTAACTGAGGACAAGATCCCAACTTGTGTTCGTGCTCTCTACCAGCTATCACCTGAATATGTGCTACATAATTATTCGTTAGTCATTACACTCGCTATCACATCAAATCACATCCGAATGCATATTAAGTTAAGCCGGAGAAGAAAAGCAAGTAATTGATTGGTGATGATAGTATCTGAGGTAAACTGGTATTATTTCTACCGAATAATGACTAAAGGTGAAATGAAAAGCCCAGTGACAGCAGGATTAACTGAATTTCAACCACAGTTAGCCGTACAAGTTGCAATAGCTTCAGAAGAAGATTTAATTGTAAACAGTTTATATATGAAGCCTTTAGAAGAGGTAACAGGAAGTAGTTCTCACTGTGAACTTGAACCGCTGAATACATGTGTATATCATCGTGTTATCATCGCTGAAAAAACCGAACACGAAAATTTCTTCCAGCATATATGCCCAGTGTCAAGTTGTTGAAAGTTAAGGAATGAAGTCTAGTGGAATGGAACAACTCTAGATTCTTTAGATTGCTTCATCCAAAAAACATTTGGAAGAAAGCTTAAAACTAGAATGTACACAAAACTGACTCATTTTGATGAATAAATATCTTTTTCATTCCGATTATTCAAATAGACTGAAGGCTACAGTATATATATATATATATATATATATATATAAACACTTAGAAACTACTGGAAGAAACCAAGATGAATTTAAGTAGCAGCCTCATTCTGAGAAAAATTCATGATAAATCATACTTCAACAGTGCATACCTGAAATGACTGCGTGGGAATATATTATATATATACTATCCACAAGTAGTCAAAGGAAGTTACGTTGTACAGAATCTTACCGGATTCTACTAGGATTAATCTTTGTTTTTTCAAGTGGCCTGATTTATTGCTCTTTTTCAGCTTCTTGAAACAACTCAGGCAATTTTTTAATGCGATCATGATAGATTGTGATATTCTTTCACACCTTATTTCTTGTTGCTAATATATTGAATAATGACAGCTTACATTAATTCGATTAAGTTATCGACATTAATCATATATGCATTCATATAAATATATCATACACAAATCAAGATAAACTCACTGTGGACATTAATTCCTTGAGTATAGTTCTCATGTTCTGAGTCTATATTCCAAATGTATGGATAATAATGACGATATAAATGGGATACTGGACCTAGATGATAAGACAAGTTTTATGAATAAAAATCTGTAGGTAAACAAACGTATATTGAACTTAATACCAAGACATAGCCCTAGATGTTACACATATTTGTATCTGCATATGTGCATACGTTATCCGAAGAAATAGTTTAACTGACTGGTAACTAGTAAATAATCTTGAGTGTGTAGGTTCGTTACTCTTTTGAATACTGTTTGTGCATCAATAATCGACATCAAATAAGTGACCTCTGGAAATTTGAAAATAATGAACCCTCTGTCAATTGAACAATGCACATACATGAAGATTCTACAAAAGAAACTGGAAACTCAGCAATCCTAATAGCATATATTAAATATGAATTAACTGGGGTTTATGCTTGCAGTTTGCATCTACAAAATTGCTTAAATATATCCATAACTACTCAGTAATAATTTTAACACAATGATTAGCAAATTTTCATAGAGTGCTTCATACTGGCATAGGATGGTTAGCACATTACAGGTTATCAACAGTTGTGCAGGACATCATGGTGACTTACCACAATGTCTATCATGAAAGCAATCTAAGAAGTGAATTTTTATAATTCAGCCGTTTACTTTGGTTGTGAGTGGATTAAGTTTACTAAGTATATCTACTTTGGTAATCAAGTTATGGCTTTATTCAACATTAATTTGATCAACGAAAGGACAAATTGGAAATACAAAGCATATTCAATGGAAGTTAACACTTTATAGTCTGTCAACCCTTATGGTTTGCATTTCTTTCTTCTGTAAGACTTCAACCCAACAATTAGATGCATATTCATTTACTTTTTAGAGTCTTTAATTTTTACATTCCAGATCCTTATAGTTACTGAAAAACCCTGAATAAATTTACAACTATTTAGCACACTGCGAACACTTCAGACAAGAAAAGATTATTGTCCTAGTTGGCCATTTTAATGAATACCTTCCAAAAAGATTGAAAAATTCAGAGCATACATGCAGCAATTTCTTATGCATCGAAAATTTTGTTAAAGGAAGTGTACTGTTTTATCAAATTTTCTCATTTCGAAAAATTCAGCAGAAAAATGAAAAGTACAAGGAATCATATACGAGTATCAGCAAACAGAATACTTAGGTATTATCTATTGATTGGTCATGGGAGTGCAACCAATTTCGTGTTGTCTAGTCCTCAGTGCAGACCGAATTCTATCGATCATATTTGCAATGTGGCAACCAAGCTAGGAAGCTCAGCATCGCGGTGCACATAAATAGATAATAGTTAGTTGGAGGCAATCAGTATTAAATAGTGGGCAGGACTTTTGAGTGAAAGATTCGACACATCTTCTGACTACCAGATTAAATTTGAATGAATAATTTGTTCTTGACAAATTCGGTTCCTTATTACACATGAAAAACATTCTGAATGATTGAAACAAATTTCATGGAGCATTGGTTTCATTGTCAAAGTTAAATCTCTACTTCAAATCTGATTGCAGTCAGTTTTTTGAACACATCTGGACAGCGGTTTAGTACCAATCACAAAAAAATATATTGCTAATGTGATGGCTTATTTACTGTTGATCTCATCCACGTACCATTGCAAAAGATTCGTGGCTCCAGTCCATTGCATGTTGGTAAGTAGAGATGAAGATATTAGGAAATACTGAAAAATCAGTCATTCATGCGTATTCGAATACTCATCGTCTCATTCAGAGTAATAAATGCAATCTGAATTTCCATTCTTTTGTTTCCTGTCTATTAAGATTTTCTTAATTTCTCTACTTTTTACAGTTTGACAAGTTTGATTTCATTTGTCATTAAAAAGTGTAATAAGTGAAATCAGTATACAATTATCCTGAGTTGTTCCATGTATCTTTCTATTCAACCTGGATATTTTACTGGACACAATTAAGCATGCAGACGAAAGTATACATGATAATTAAGATTTCTGTCATAAATAGCGGAAATAAGCCAATTGTTTTTTCGCTAAGCAAACCATCTCCATGAAAATATATTGTACACATTTCTTGGTGTATACAAAAAATAAATCATCTGTTAGATAATATTGAGGTAGTATTCATCACGGAGTGACATCAGCTGGAGAACCATTGAAAACTTGGGAGCATTGGACAGTCATTTCGCCCCAGTATGGGACTCAGCGCAACTCACCTATGACCCGACTCGGGATCCAACTCAGGACCTTCAGGTTTCAGGGCGAACGTGTAAACCATTCAGCCAGTGAGTCGTAGTTCAGTGGTTCACAATTTCCAACTTCTGTCAACCCGTCAGTCTGTGATGGGTACTACCTCAAAACTAAAATCCCCAGTCACCTCAAAAATACAACACTTTATAGTGCTCATTAGTGACACGTTTCCAGATGGATATCTTGACGTTCGAATGAGAAGTCGTAACCTATGGGGCTAGTCAGCCCGAAAGGAAGCGGATGCCAAGTGGGTGATAATCACGCTATATTGCGAATTGACAGAAGTAGAAATTGTGGACCGTTGAATTCCAATCTAATGGCTGAATGGTTAAAGCATTCACCATGAAACCTGAAGGTGCTGAGTTTGGTTCTTGGCCGGGTTGTATGTATGTGTGTGTACTGTTGAGGAGTTTCACACTACGGCGAGGTGACTGTTCAGCGCTCCTAAGTTTTCATTGGTTCTCTAAATGATACCAGTCAAAGTTAAAATCGCTATTCAACTCAAAATGTGTTAGATAATACACAGGGTATGGAGATGAAGACGTTGAGAGTTCATTTTTTTTGAACTTTTCCGTTGATTGTCAACGCTGCACCACCAGGTGTGATCGATTCAGACGTACCAAATGTATACAGAAGTTAATATACAGGATTTTAGCACAGAATAAAAGTAAAGGTTATTAAGCATTTTTCATATTTTGCTAATTTGATGTGAACTTTTACATGAAGGTAAAAATGTAAAACCATAACATGTGTATGTCCCATGCAGAGTTGTCTCTAGAATAACGGAGGAAGTATATCGATAACTGTCACCTCATATCAGTGTGTAGCCACAGAATCGAGTTCGTGGAGTAGGCAGTTTTGAAACTAAATAAATCCGGTACACTGTTCATCGTTTACAGATAGTGTACATAAAATAACCGTGGACATCTTAATTAGATTCAGGTGAATAATACACTTTTAACAGACAGTAGTGAGTTTGCCTGGAAAATTTATTTTCCCTTCTGTCCTTATTTCCACATTTCATAATAACTCTTGAGCAGAGCCAAGGCATTATTTATATTTGATGTTCTGCAGAAAGATATCTATATGCCTTCGTCCATCAAATTTACCGATTATAAAAGTTAATCCTTTATTATATCTTTTAGTCATAAAATACTGGAGTTTATCACAAATGGTAAACAAATATCACTTTCTTGTATCAAGTCAAGGTGAAGGTCATAGTGACATGAAAAGAAGAATATCAAATAAATTGATATATCTAGTTGGAAAGGGAGTAAACTATTATATTTAGCGAATTTTAATGACAGGAAAATAAAATGTAGTGAATGATGATAATTTTTCTCATCAGTTCTCCAAACCAGTAGAAAATGTGGATGATTTGTTGATATGTAACCAATGGGAAGATAGAATAAAATGTACATTTTTTACCTACCCAGGTAAACAGCATCATAACTTAACAAACTGAAATGGTAACGAAAGGGCTCTCAACTGACTGAGTATCTGATAAAGTCAAAACCTGTGTAAAAACACTATCAGAGATTAACTTTGGAAACATGGCAGAGCCTATTCACATGCTCTATTGTATTGCAAACACAGTTTTCAATGAAACTGCTTTACGCTGGTGATCACTAGCAAAAGTACGTGCTCAGACCTCTGTCATTATGAAGTTGGTAATTGCGACACAAAAAGAAAGAGCGTTTGAAACAACAGTTATTATTAGTGGTATGGTGTACAAAAACTATATTAATGACATACGAAAGAGAAAGCATCATATATCAGATTATTAAAACTATTGCAAAGTTTTCCAGTAAATAATGTGTTGTTTATTTTCAGTTGAATTACAAATAATCACATTTTGAAGGTGACTGGACTACTTGAACTATGATCCCAAAGTAAAGCCATGAGAATCCCAAAGTTGCTTCACTTTTTTCTTTATTACCTCGTGAACAGTAAAAGACTGGAAACTTTTGTATTGCCACTGATCAAACCAAAACTTTGGAGCCGATATGCAGATGACGCGTATGTCATCATTAAAAGAAACGAATTGAAAAACGTTTACATATTATTCAATAACATTTTCGATGACATCAAATTCACAGATGAAGAGGAATAAAATAATAAACTTGAATTTTATATGTTCTGGTTACTAGAACAGATTCGGGGAAATTGGAAACTGAAGTATAAAGAAGACCAACTCATACAGGTCAAATCCTTGACTACAATTGCAATTTGTTAGCCTACAAAAATATTGTTAAAAAGAGCGAAGACACACCGTAGTACATCAACCTTGCGTTGGAAAGGAGAAAACTACCTGATGATTTTCCAGAATAACTCCTATTCATGTAACTTTATTGAAATGATGTGCTAGCCGCCTGGAAGGAAATCAGAATGGTTCCGGTGACTAGGTTTATATCATCAGAAGCAAAAGTTAAATTCCAACTGATAGCAATAACTTTACCATTTCTAAAAACAGTGGAAAAAATGTTGCTTCCTGCGCTGAAGCCTCCTTTGGAGGCTTTCACAGATCCAAACCAATTCGCCTACAAACCCGGAAGAAGTACCTTAAATGGTGCAGTTTATTGCATCATAATATTATAACAAGTCTAGAGAAAGGTGTTAAGTATGTTACATCTTAGATTATACATTTGCTTTCGACTCTGTCCCTAAACTCCTCTTACCAAACAAGCTTGTCATTGCTCACACTGAGTCATGGATTGTAAACTGGCTTGATTCATTCTTTTCTGAGAGAAGACAGTACACTTTATACAGAGTGAAGCGCTCTACTCCGCTGCTTAGTGAAGTTGGTGTGCCTCAGAGTTCTGTTCTTTCTTCTTTCCTTTTCTCTTTCTTTCTGAATCATCTACCAACCTCACTTATGCTAACTTCGTTAAATAGGCTGAGGAACTGGCAGTATCCATATCAATCGTCTCTTCAGATTATTCTCAGTTTCATAACTTTTTAAACGAAATTAGTTACTGATCTTTCTTAAGTGGCATCACACTCAATCCCTCCAAATGTCAGACGGTTAGTTTTAAGATGTGAAAGATCCTTGTACATTGCTTCAGTCCCGGAACTCTTGTCTCATAGATGACTCATCTGCAGAGAATGTAACAAACGTTATTCATCTTGGCTTATGATTTTCTTCTGATCTTTCTTAGTCCCCTTATATCTTACTGATTTCCAGAAAAATCCTTCGCCTAATCTTTCATGCAAGGAAACTCAGACTATCTGGCATAACTGAGACCCTACTCTTACGTTTTATGAATTCCTGTTTTTTGCATATGTTTATTTATTGTTTCCTCATATTCTTTCCGGGACTCCAGACAAACGATTTTGAAGATTGCTAGTAGATAAGTGGTACACCACTAACTGTGGTGTTGTGGATAGGCATATGAGCTGTTTTAGACTTCTGGCTAAAATATTTTAATCTGATGACAAGCATCTCATGCATTTACACCTATCTACACTTTTGTTATTTGGGAAGACAAGGAGCAAATAAATTAGACTGTTAGCATGCACAACTACACACAAAAATTCAACCATACCTTATTTAACTTGTGCACTGTGTGAAGGAAATCATGTTAGACATAGTCTTATCAATCAGCTTTGCAGTAACGAACAGTTATCAAATCTCTGAAGTCACGAAACAATCATGCTATTTCTTATTATGTCAAACAGTATACTTTTTTAATATACATTTGAAAAATGTTTTACAATGGGTAAACTGATGCAATACCACGTCCTGAGAATTCTGCACTGTAAACGTAATTATGGTTTGAAATAAGGCAAATGTATTATTGTTATTATTATAATTCGTCGTCAACCAAAAAGTCGACCTAGAAAACTAGCATGTGGATTGTCCTGCTCCAAAGAAGAACTTCTTCGAGAGCTTGACTAGATTACTGGAACCTTTTGGAATCACTGTATCTCACAAGCCCGCAAAGTATCTGCACTCTCTGTTATTCAGGTCAGGAAATGCAACAAAGGAGGAAGACAAACTAAACACTATCTACAAGATAAACAGGAGAAACTGCTCAAAACACTACACCGGACAGAATGGACACTTTCTTCGTATTCGTCTGCAAGAAAATCAACTAGCGTCATGAGATATCTTCACTTATATCAATGCACAGGGACAACTGTGGATATGAATTTGACTAGGCAAATGTGAAAATTGTGAATAGAGGAGATTCTAAGCATGCCAGAGAATTTTAGAAGCTTGGTTTTTACGTCACTCAGTAGTCAACAGACATACTGACATTGACCCAATCTATCAACTAATAAGAAACAACAAGAATATCGAATTTCAGGTCATCAGTACAACCAATAAAAATAAACATGGAGAGAATGATTAGATCTTGGCAGAAACAACCAGTGACACACAAAACCATTAGGCTATTGAATAAATTGAGGAGTAAGACTTATAGCTAACTTCTTTCTGAAGCTTATGCTGATGATGTTGGCTGGAATGACAACGAAAGCTCCACGATTATACCGCCCAGCTCACAGAACACACCATCAAAATGACAAATGCCTCAGGTTTTTATTACCTGGCCTACGATCGCGATTTCCGTCTACACAAACAAATTCTGTAGAAATTTTTTTCAATCCTTTGTTATAGTGAGCAGTAAACTGAATGAAATCAATTTAACTAAATAAGATGATGTATCAATAAAAATCTACCTAACCACCACTATCTCAGATAGTCAGACTGATAAGCAGTATGATTCTACCCCACCTAAATCAATTAAATTTAGACTGCAATGAGAAGTCCTGACTTGGCAGCCAGTGTGAGTGTGACCAACCAATAGTCATGCGTTACGAATCCCCATGTCATTTGAGCAAAACCCTCAACAACTGACACGAAGCTGAGACCTGGTCAGCAGTTATTCCTCGTAGCTCATTGGAGAGAGCACATGGCCGGAAACCCACTGGCTGCTGTTTCGAATCCTGCTACAACCTACATTTTCATTTCACGTACATTCATCAATCAGTTGAAGTAAAATGTCTCATGTGTATGATTAAAGAAGGGGGAAGCTTTCATCCACACATTCGCTTCCTTTAACAGCCATCAGAGCCTTGAAATACCCACTGGAAAAGTAACTTCGTGTAGATTTTGTGAATAATACTGATTGTCTAGCAGATGTGGGAAGACTCTGTCAATGACACCAAAATTTCACTGGGAGACTTTTTTCGGTTTCCAGAAGTAGTGTAATCCCATGCGAATCCAAGTTCATTTAAGTTGATCAATCAGATGGGTCACAGCAAAAAAGTTATTATTTACTGGAATACACTTTAGAAGTTAGTTATTTTCCATAGTGACCTAGAGATAACTCTGTAACTTTGGGACCTGGTTTAGATACTTCTGATTTTCTCATCTTTTTCTTGATATAAATGATAGGACTTCACATATAGATGGAGCAGGCACTGAGTCGTTTTTGTTTCAAATAACCGATGTGGATTCAACCCCTACCAGTCTGTTCCATGGACTGTCACTCTGTCCTATTCCCTTAAGTGGCTGTTTGTCCGGGCTCAGAAGCCTAGCTTAATTAGGAGTGGTAGATCCTAGTGAGATACGGAACCTAGAAAATATCTGGGCTACAACTGTACAAGCAATTACATAACCGCGGAGTAGTATATAACCGTGACACTCCTTAAGAATGGCTTGATGGAATTGAGGTAAAGACTGAATACCAGATATTCGCTTACCGAACCAACATTGGATATTTGAAGTAAGAATGACTCAGCACTTGTTCCAGATATGTGTAAAATTGTATCAATTATATCAAAAAGGTGAGAAAATTAGAACCATCTAAACCAGGTCCCAAGGTTGTGGAGTTATCTTGAAGCGACTATGGACAATAAATTGTCTCAGAAGTGTAATCCAATGAATGATAATCTTTTGTTTCATATGTCTCATAAGTCAGCTGAAATGTGGTTACATCCCTCAGCGGTACCCGAGGTTCACTCTTATATCTGAGAATCCAAATTCTAAAATCAACAATAAGGAGCTGCAATCAAACGTATTCAAGCATCGTTAGGCGTTGCAATCCAAACAGTAAGCGTTTCAATGACATTCTTTAAGGATGCACAGTACCAACTACTTAGATTAATTAAGAAACGAAACTAGAAACTGTTGAAACATTCAGACGCAACCAGATTTTTCAGGCATTTGCCAGCGAAACACATAAAGGCAATCTTCAGTAATCTTGAAATGGTAAGGTTGTCTGTAACGGCAAAAATATGCTGACTTGGTAGGTAACCTTTTGTCATTAAACCTCTTCTTCTGTTTGGTAACAACTGAGTGATCATCGGAGATTTGATGGTATTAAACATTCATAAGTGACTTTCAACACTGAAATTACAAATTATCGATATCCTTCATAATGTAAATATTAGATCAAATTAGTCTTACCAACTTCTCCACTCAAACCAGCAAATTCTGATACAGAAGTCAGTTTCTTCTTCAAGTAGGCAGAAATTGGCCCAGTTTGAAGGGAATGCACCAGCTGAGTTTTACCAACAAGACTTGAACCAAAAAGTTTCAGTTTAATTCTGGGTAAACGATGTGTACCTTCTTTTAACTGTTCAATCCAAGCTATACGCCTCTCCTATAAATTATGAAAGGATTATTTAGAATAAAGTCAACTTTAAATTTCAGAAAATTTCAAAAGGAAAATATAACTTTCGTTAACTAACTATTTTTAAGTTCTTTTAAAAATACCACCCTCATAAGGTTAAAATCGGTTTATTTAACACGGAATATGCAGAGTCACTCTATAGTAGCAAGGGGAAACATAATCACAGTTGACAGCAATAAAATCGTCAAGAATGCATTATATTTGATTGATCATAGTCACTAAAGTTCTAAAAGTAATCACCAATTGTTTCAAACTGTTAATTTCCGCTGTCATATGTGCTTCACTACAACACTTCAGAATGTACTTCTACAACACCCACGCTTCTACTAACCACCCACTTTATGAACACTGTCGCCCTATTTGTTAAACTGCTTTCAATAGTGCTTTGATTTTTCGTTACCTTGGAGAAGTTACTGAATGTATATTGTATATAAGTTAGATCATATCAACCACTGAATGATCACCAGTCAGTTCAATACATGAATTCATTTACCGATACGTGTTTCATAGTTTCTTCAGTTCTTCAAGTAGATTCAATTTAATTTATAACTTAGAGACAATGGTCATATGAGCTCTGTAAATTATCTGCCTACTACACCGAAGCAGCTGATACAAAAATCACAGTTATCCTACGTGCCTGAGCTTTAGCTATCAAGTTCAGGTTTCACTGATGTTGCAGGTTATATCTTTCAGCGAATAATAGTATTGCCTTGCTCATTTGTGTAACACTTCAATTAGATTAACAGAATTCATAGATGCCATATTAGTATAAATCATATAACAAAACACAGTCCATGCACTGAGTGTAGTTGCAGAACAAACATTTAGGATTACTGTACATCAAATAAACTGAGATACTGAGAAACTACTATAAAACTTCAAATGAAGCATTCAAAACTCGGAAGTGTGACTTATCCTTAGAGATGAATCAGTAATCTCTCCTAGACATAGATGAAGCAAGCTTCAAGAAGCGCGGAATATCTGAAGCCTCCAGACACTCCAAGTTATTACTTAAACTTAAGAAACCAAAAAAATTCCACTTACATTCCTTCTGATCCCTAACAACTGTAATCGCGGAATCGATCGATTCGAGTTCAGATGCCAGACAGAGATACTGATTTCACTAAGTATCACCTGTTACCACCTTATATAACAGTAATATCAGTTTTAAATACTGTAACTGGTTCAAATAGCTTGTCCTGTATGAAACTATTCAGTGTACTTCCTTCATGGCTTTCTAAAGCTGTCCATCTTGTTAGCAAACACATTATACGTTTCAAAGATACATTGAGTAGCAAGTGAAATACTTGACGTAACATCCTACTAGAAAACCAGTATACACCTGGATTCATAGACCTTAGTATGAAAGAAAAGCCACAAATACAGAAGTTATCGAACATCCTAAAGACGCCTCTTATATGAGCCTGGAATTTTAGGGAAACTACCGTTGAAATTCCCCGAAGTCACCTCTCAAGATCTTAGGAGACGAAATTTGACACAGGTAGGATTTTGAAATGATGGAGAAAAATTATAGCTCTGGTGGATGATCTTACTTGTGTCGTGTTGTCTGGGCCGGGTGGCTTAATCGTGAAGCTTTCATTGTCTTTCTAGACAACATCAATGTAAGGTAAGTGTTGATGATTTTATCTGGAAAGACAATGAAGGCTATAAGATTAAACCACTCAGCTCACAGAACACAACTTAGACAATATTTCACACAGCTAGGGTAAGAATCACAATATTCAATAGATAATTGCCCCGTAAGCACAAAATACCACTTCAGGCCACCTCAGTGTGGATCTATCAGTTTATTTGTTCCTGTGGAACGAATTTCATCGTTCGTACACAGCGTCCATTCCACAAACTCAGTATTGAACACTGTTCAGTTTATGATTTCGGCTTCTTGCTAAGTCCTTATATGGTAGTCTCTCAAACCACTTGCTTGTGAAATTGATCTTGATGACTAGCAGAGGAATCCAGGACGTGCGTTTCGTCCTATTTGGGACTTATCAGCTGGATGTACCTGCACCTCAGTCAGTGGTATTGTTCCTACTGAGACTCGAGCCCAGTACCCATCGCTTCAAACGCCCAAACGTTATTCACTAAGCCATCTGGGTGCAATACCCACCTCTTGTGAAACGAGTATCAGTTGCTGTTATAATACTTGTAATTTTCTGCTGCGATACAGGGCCGAATGGCTCGAATTCTGCTGACAGATGGGCTCCTATGCGAATGCCTTGGAACCGCTGAACATTAATGATGTTATATTGATCGTGGTGACTGGCAGAGGAATCCAGAATATGCGTCCCGTCTTGGTATTTATAACCGAAGCTTATATTTCACTAGAAACTCATAACTTTTTGGATACTTGAAATAGGGTGACTTTAAAGGCCACCCTAGCAACTGCTTCAATAACCATTCGGGTTTCGGTATTCGGTATGGAAAGGTAGTTTCTCTTAAAATATAGGAGCCTGATTAGTTATCTCAGTAGTAGCCAAGGTGGCCTTTTATGTTGTCCCATAAAATATAGGGCTGCAGCTTAAAGCAGACTAGCTTGAACCATCAAAAACCAATGTGAGCAAAAAATTTCTGATATATTTAATTATTTTTAAACAGTTATTGTTTGTAATTCTATAACTGCCAAAATAAAGTTTGAAAACATTACAGTGATTTATCGTGCAATGTACTACCAAAATATCGGTAACTTACCGGTTTCATTTTAGTTAACAACATTCCAACTTTTGCATAGCCTTGAGCAAAAGCCATAACGTCTGGTGTTATTCCATTCTAAGAAAAAAATCCAAGCATGAAATTAAATGAAGTTTCTGACTGTTAGACATATAAAGTAGTAGACAGCTGACTTTCAACTACTTTTGTTCCCAACACAATGACAGATAACCACGGCAGAAAAACAGATTTTTTTTCGTCTTATGAATAGTACACAAACTAACATTAAATATCTTATCTGAAGCATAAAACTGAATATGAACTATTTTCATGAGTTTTTCTGGCGCTAAAAGATGAAACAGAGTCGCCTTCCAACTACCCAAACATGAACGTTCCTTTGTTTGTCGGTAAAACGATTTCATGAATAAATTTGTTCAGCTTTCTGGTAGTTTAACTAATCTATGTTTGAAGTCAACCATACATTTGATAAGTGAGTGACTTTTATTCGCAGTCTATAGTTAATCTAACACATTTATTACCATGGGAAATTCTTCCACTGTTTACTAATAAGACCAACCTTTTTGAAAACAAACAGAGCACGGTACATGCTGGCAATCAATTATACTACTTACCTATTAACCAATATACCGAATAGTTTTCGCTTGTCTGGATTAGCCTTAATTCGTAGCATACGTTTACTACTGACATGTATATGAGCTTCTCGGTTCTGGGTTCATAAATTTTAATGGTTTTAAGGTTTATGTTCGGATGATGTGAAGTTCAACTCAACTTAAATATGTTAAGTTGAAACAACAAAAGGTGCAATATGAACCTTAAAGCCTATAACTATGCCATGGAAGGGATTAACTATTTAAACCGCTATGATATTAAATGATGGAATCGAGAACCTGTAATGTACTTGTTAGGATGTGGTCAGAAATACACACCATCATTCAAGGTCATTCACTGTTGGAGTAGAAATGTTTTCGTTTTAAATCTTGATTTATGCCCATATATGTTCAAATTAATTTTACTGAGCACCTTCGCCCTTCAGTTGATTGGTGATCTGGTGGTTTCATCCTCTGAACAGAAGCTGTATATAAATACTATATTGTTTGTTAAGTAAAATATTCTTCCTTAAATCATTCACAGGCCTGTCTTTTATCTTCTGATTTTCGCGGTTCAGTGAAGTACCAGGTGTGGGGAACAACAGTTGCATTATTCATATCTAGTCCAAGTATCTCGTTGCGTTGTTACTCGTTTCGCTTATTATTACAATCTATATCTTACTCCAACTCAGTCATATCAGTGCTAAGGCGTTTACAGATGTTCTGTGACCAGTTTTTTTTCCTGCATCATAAAAACTATCCTGAGATCTTTTCTGAAAGGCGTAAGATAATTCACATAGGACTCATGAAATAACATCTTACGTGCATGTCATCAGAAGTTTTGCACATCAGACTGCTAAATTACAAAACAGGCACTCGTCAGCAAGGCGTGTTTACAACCTCAAAAAAATTGATGTCCCTTTTGAGATTCGAAACTGCATCACCCACTGGCGTAGTTGGTAAGTTGCTACTGAGGTATTCAGGCAGCAACTAACCTCTTTTAGAACTGGATTAGATAAATTGACTGGTCACTGGAAAGTAATCAATTTCATGTTGTCTAATCTTGAGTATTTACCGAGTTCTGTCGGTCTTCTTGCGATGTGGCCATTATCAAATTGCACCAAAATGCTTGGTGATGGCCATATTGCAAAATGATCGGTAGAATTCGGCCAACTCAAGATTAAACAAAGTGAAACTGGTTACTCTGCGGTGACTAATCAATGTACTATTTCAGTCCTCTTATTAACTCTATATACGAAGAACTAGAATGAAATTATATCCCACATCGATGGTGGAGAATGTCTGTAGTTTAGGTGGATGATCTTAATTATAGTGTGTTCTCAAGATTTCCGGTGAAATTCTGGATAACGCCATCGGTATAAACCTCAGACAAAAGTTTTTCACAAGACTTCAGAGACGTAAACAGAAAGATAGCATTCGAAAACTACTTTTTTTTTACTCCAGTGATGACTAATTGTTGAAAAACACTGGACGATTGTTTACTTTATTTGTTAATAATTTCGTCAATAATGTAAGGAAATCGATTTTCCTTAAAGATTACGGGTCTCATCAAAAAGTAGTTTTTTAAGTTAAGCCATAAAAACTCACTAATCAGATAAAACACTTCTATATCTAATAAAACTACATTTCGCTACACACATTGCTATGCCTCCAAACGTACTTGTGCATAGTAAAAAGTATGATCTGGGAAAGTCTTCTCCTATCTCAAGAAAACATAATGAAGCATTCTTCATTCTGAAAACAGTCATTCAGTACAGTTACTCAAGTAATACACATGCAATATTTTCCTCGAAATGCCTTCTTTATGTATACCAAAAAGAATTCTTCAAGCTATTTATCTATTTTTTGCAAACATTTGGAGGTCCTAAACCCTTCAACTGATTGCCAGAAAACTTCTGTCATATGTATGATAAGAATCAACTAAGTTACTTACACGACTTGTGATACCAGGATCAGCACCAGCGAGTATCAGATAACGAACTGTCCTAAGATGTCCATGTCTGGCAGCTAAATGAAGAGGAGTGAATTCTAACTGTAAAAGAAATATAAAGTAATTCTTAGACATTTTGAATACCAGCAACTTTAATGGAATTTCTTTTACTGTTGTCATTGAGGTTCGAGTATAACGATACTACTGTTTCTGTCGAAACCATTTATCAATAGGTTTAAATGCAATCGTTAAATTCTCAATGGGTATTTCATTTGCCAGGGATTCTGGCATGATCAGGAAAATTAATAATAACATGTGCATACTTGTCATGAAATAAAGAATCCCAAATCTGCTTTTGTCACCTTATATGGCGGTAAAGTACTGGGATAAAACTCTTATTTAGACACTGGATGAACAAAAAGTGATGTAGTAGGTGTTATTTTATCCTTAGCGACGATTATACAGGTTGAAGCAAACACTTTACCATGGACATGTGGCTGTCAGTAAAAATGTTTCTTTTTTAAGAGGTTAATATTAATATTATGCCATCTAATATTGTTGTGTGCACCACTTCTTAGATTAAATATAAGTGGAACAAAGTACGATGTTATCGGCGAAAGTAATAATAGTTGATACTCGGGTGTGGAAAATTCTGTGAAAGAACACAACAATTTATAAACGCCGGCTAGCACAGTCAGAAGCTGTAAGAGAATATTTTGAGTCATGAGATTCCAATGAAAAGTCAGCTAACAAATATGTAAATAAAGAACTAGTCTAAAATTTACTTCCAGTAAAATTGCCATCTATCAATGAAGTGCAAATTAATCAAATAAATCTGTGATACAGCACACAGTGACAGTAACAAGTAGGTCAAATAAACCAAGGTGCCACAACAGTCTGTTCCACAACCTATACATAGACAACATTCAGAGACAGCAGAAACACCACCTAACATTCGTATAGTAGTTGAGCATGCTTTAATTCTTTATGAAGTTAGTTTTGAAGATGCCACCACCCCTAGAGTAAAACATTCACCAAAACATTTCGAAGGTTAGAGAGGACCGAACTGCCGTCATCCTCATGCTGAGCAATGCATCATCTTTCTCATTTCAAAAAAATATATATTAGTTATAGAGGTGATAAAATGGTTAATTACTTGTTTTTAACTCCTTTAGCTTAACTAAAGATCAAGATGACACAAGAAGACATTAATAAAAAGGTTTCTGCGATGTGGCAATTTGTTTAGATGGTCACAAGTGTTTTGCAAGTGCGAATTCCTCCATAGTTGGGTGTGAAAGTTGAATTTTGTTTACAAAAGAAATTTAGCGGCAGTCATACTACTAAATCACCTGGAAAAATTATTTGAACCTGATCTAGTGAATTAAATATATACCAAACTGATTTTAAGTACTGAGAGTAAGTCAGGCAACTGGGTAACCTTATAGCGAAACTTCAGTCCAATCTCTCTGAGACTCATGATTCAAAAAGAATAAACTAGTATAGTTAGAGAAGAACAGCAAGTTCGGTTTAAAATAAGTGTGTATCAGAATCATGGTTATAGTAGCAGACTCTGAAGAAAGATTTTAAGACAGAACACAATGGGTAAAAGATAAAAATCAAACTTTGGATAATGTTAGTTTAACGTCGCTAGTGATCAAGTGTCCTTATTAGCTTCAGTGGTAATTTTTGTGTAATTGTTGAACTGTCGCTAGAAAGTGATTAAAGTTGAATAAACATTTTCAGCTGCATTCATGTCAGATACATTAGCCAACTAATAAACAAACTGAAAATTTCTAGTAGAAGCAAGATATAAGTAAACTTACTGTGTTGTAAATATCAACATTTGTAACAGCTTTGGAAAGTAATTTGACGATAGGATAATCTCCTTGTATAGCAGCGAGATGAAGTGGTGTATTACCTCCCTGTGTGAAAAGAAAGTGTATATAGGTGTTACAAAATTGAAAATTGTAGAAAAAGATAGCATGTGTTTTTTATGCAATTAAAGAATCCATGTTTTGTGTTATTCTGAAAGCTGTAAAGTTTCGTTTTACTTTTAACACCAACTCCAAGAAAGATGCAAGAACTTCTTAGTTTTGAGTTCATTTTTTTGTTCAGCTTTAGCTCAATTTAAGGTCAAATATTAGGAATTATCTACAAAAAATTGGTTTTTCTTAATTCCCTAAACTTCAAGGTCATCTGATTACTTACGTCGCACGAACTTAAGAAAATAAGTTCCAGTCTGTCTTATTGGGAGACAAATAAAGCAGAGCTAAGACTCCTGCATTTTCAACTTAATTATTCTGGCTACAGGATAGAACTTCTATATCTAACCAAATGTCTTCGATGATTGTGAAAGACACCAAATGATGCGGCCATATATATAAATGCAGTTCTGCTTTTTCTGATAGTGATGGGATCACTCTAGCAATGAGTCCTGAATCGTGGATTATATCTATATCAGGCTTTTATGAAGTGATCAAATCAAATGTATTTGACCAGCTAAACAATAAAATAAGCAGAATTATTTAATACCTTCATGATTCAAACAGAAAGCTGCAAAGCACCTTTGTCAAAGTCAACAGTTGCAGAATTAAATGATGGATTACACTAGGTATCTTAAACAGTGACCCCACTTCATACTGTTTTACTTTTACTCATAATGAAAACTGAATTAAAAGGAAAAATACTAAGCAACATGCACAACTGTTAACCACTCAGCTAGATCAAATCATTAAAATACTTGTGTTTTGCTTCTTAAGCTTGAAGCCATATTTGTTAATTTCGCAAACTGAAGAATGTTACTCAGAGTTACAGGATTCAGAAAAGTTGAATCTTACGAAAGTGTGAAAACAGTTTCCAAGGTGAGTTTTATGCCCAGAAAGTTGATAAACCTGAGACATTTACAAAAATATTACTGTCATTACGTCGGGAAACGGATATAACAATTAGGAGCCTCAGACTACTTCACTTCATTCAAAGTGCTCACTTTTCTAGGGATTGAAAACAGAGAGGTCTGGAAAGATAGACTTTGAAACAGACTTCAAGAAAATCATTATTGAATTGATGACAGATGCTTTAAAAAAGTGTGATAATTCCTATCATTGTACATCCTGTGAACTGTTCACAAAACATTTCATCTGGTAAACTCATTACTGAGAGGTATTCAACAGTGTTTTCAAATATTGATTCTTAATGTCCATTTGATGCCAGAAAGATATACAGCTGAGTGATACAAACTATAACATTGAATATTTAGTGCTACGTGATTACTAAATGATTAATGCCATTTCAGCGACATTTCCTATGTCGTTTTCAGCTCTCTTAATCTTCTTAACAAATACGCGAGAAATTGGATTATTGGCTAGACCAAAACTAATCTAATTCCGTTTGTCAAAAAACCATACTGTTTATCAAACTTATTAATCACCAGATGATTATAAAGTCCCAGAAGATAACAGATTTTTGGAGTGATAGCTGGCATCTGATACTCATTCAAAGTTAGTTAAAATTCTTATAGTCTTACCTCATCAGTAACATCTGCTCTTGCACCAGCTCGTATAAGAACCCGTACACAATTCTCTGAACCAGCAATTACTGCACATAACAGAGGTGTTTTACGATTCTGTTGAGTGAAAATAACATCAGAATGGGCATATTTTATGCAGACAGCTTTAGCAAACATGATGGTATCTTTTGTTAAACAAACTTATCATCAGGACGTCTTATTACCATCAACCACTGACGACCCAATGATTATGATAGAAGTAGGTAAACAAATATCACAACCACCGCATCATCCACTTGAAAATGAACGCTTAAACCTGTGACTTATAGGGAAACAATATTATTTTGATTATCTGTCATACAGACTTGCCATACTATACATACTTGTTCTCATGTATTGAACAGTAAAATAATCATGGTAAAGTCCTTAGTCTTTGGTAGCAAGGTGAAGCATGCAAACAGTGAATATCCCGATAATCATCATCATAAGAGTAACAATAACAATATTTATCCTAGTAATATTAAGAATAATGACAAAAGCGTTGTACTGTAGACATGTAAACAAACAATGTAGGTAGGAACAGTTGTGTAATACTAAACAATGAAGTATGTATATTAGATTTTGAATTTGATACAGCGCACAGCGATGAGGCACTATTTACTAACAAAGGGAACTCGACCGTATTTATGGATAAAATGGATTAGTTAAAAGAAGCCAGTGAGTATATTAAAACAGGACCATATGAGGAAACTAAAAAGCCTGCAGTCACTGTAATGAACAAGACAAAAATAGGCCACTGCTGACCCAATACACCGAATAAAGCCACCTTTGGGTGAGTCTCAGTGGTTTAATTTAATGCCTAAAACTAATAATCCTAATGGTATCATTAAGGTTCATAAAACAGGTTTTCCTTTCGAGCCAATAAATGACTTAAGAAACACAATAATATAGCTATCTAAATATTTAGCTATAGTACATTCCTTTAGTAGAAATCGCTCAAACTCAATTAAATTGAATTAAAACACAGACTAAAGGGAGAAAAGATAGCCAATTTTGATGTGACCAGCCTGTATGGAAATATACTAATTTTGAAGGTATCCTGGCCAACAATGGACTAGATAGTTTTAAAAAACTTGGGCACCGAGTTATGATTCATTGTATAGGATGTATTTTTACTTGCGTAACCCCGGCGTAGTATATTGGAACAAATAACAAAATAAACAAATATTTTGTATTATTCCTCAACGTTTCGATCTTGCTAGGAAGATCCTTTTCAAGAGTATGAATCTAACACTAAGTTTTCAGGTTAATATTCAAGTTTTGGTACAAAAAGTGGTGACCTTTACAATCATCCAATTACATAGTGATACGTAGCAAAGATCAATGTAATACAGGTGAGTGAATAAGCAACTCGGTCAGAGAGGTTTTTCCGTTGTGCGAGTAAGGTGGAACAAAAATAGGGTGGGGAAATTTTTTAGTTCGTCTATGAAAAATACAATGGAGTGGTGAGACATCAAGGGTGAGAAAGAATAGATTACTAGTTTGGAAGGATGAATATTTGAAGATGAGACAATATATCTTAAATACATAATAATAATGATAACCATAAATGTACTTTTGATAACACTTGAAGTATGAGTGGTAACAAAATGGATCATGTTATGGTTCATCGAATGTATATGACTCGGAAAGTAGTGTAAAATTGATGAAGATAGTAGATCAATAAGGTGTATATAATAGGGCTAGACAATCTACCTTCGCTTCTGAAATTATTTATAACTACCCAGGGCGAGTCATTAATGTTTTCCATATTAGTGGGATGTCTAACCCATCTTTTCTGTTGACCGAAGAAGGATATGAGCAGATGTGCAAAGCTTCTGCAATGGTCCGCTCTTTGTGAGAGAGAAAACCCTTTTGCAGAACTTTTGTCTGTTCGAATGATATTTTATGAACTGCAATAGCAGAGCTTTTTTCAAGTTTTTCTAGATCATAGGAATATTTTGGTGGTTTTTTGGAACTTCTACCATGTTCGGCTAGACCTATTAGTACTTGACGTGACGTCTCTCCAATATATGTGGCATCGCATTCACTGCAGTCTACCTTATAAACACAGTTTTGTTGTTCCAAATGAGGAACCGGATCTTTTAATTTACATAAGTGTGAGTGTAATGTATTCGTCACCTTAAAGAGGGGACCTTTATCGTCAAACCAGTCGGGTAGCAATGGGTTCACCTGTCTCACCCATTGTGGCTAATCTATACATGCACAAAGTAGAATCAGACCTACTTAACCAACATAATTTAAAACCAAGAGTATGGTGGAGGTATGTTGATGACACCTTCGTCATAACCAAAAAGCAAGGATTAGAAAGTCTTTTTGAATACCTAAACAACCGTTTCAATTCTGTAAAATTCACATGTGAACTAGAAACAGAATTCAGAACGTTAGCTTTCCTTGACTGCAAGGCGATACGAAACAGTGATGGGACACTTGACATTGATGTCAATCGAAAAGACAAACATTCTAACAAGTACCTTGACTTCGATTCTGCTCATCCATTGGAAACTAAATTAAACATTGCCAAAAATCTGTTGACGAGATCGCAAAGGATACCAAATAAAGTGGAATCTCAGCAAGTAGATAGGCGACTTGTTCGGGAAGTCTTAAAACAAAATAACTATCCAGATAAACTATTAAAGAGGATCGAAAAAACTTTATTGTGTCACTGTTTTCTTTATCAAATATACAGTTTAATATACACTTACAATTTACCACAGTGTTTAAGTTTTACTCTTAGATTAATAAAGTGGGTATACTGGTTTATGTAAGCGAAACTGATGGTGGTTATTCATTTGGATAAAGCAAATCAATTAGCTAACTCTTAACAGCCACTCAGAATCCAGTGTAAGCTTCATTTTATAATTTTCCTCTGAATGGTTGATGAATTAAGCCTGTTTCAAAGTGTTCAGTGTACACAAATTAGGATTATTTTTAAAACTCATAGTCCCAACTGATTCTCAGAAGCCAAACCACTCAGGATTTTTATATCTTACCAGTATATACATCTAAATCTTCACTTCACTTTTTGCCATGTTACGTAACAGTATAAAGAAATACATATATTTGAAAGCCTTCATTCTCCATTGATTGAATGCATTTTATCAGAAGTGCAATCGCCTACGCTCCAGCGAAGAGCAATATATACAGAAACACACTAATACATTTTTATACCTCAGAATAACTATATGGTAATAAAATAAACGATATCATAAGTGTAGAACTCTGTTTGTTATGCTACAGTGATTTTCTACTGGGATTAAAATCAATAAACGAATCCGTTTACAGATTTCCTCAGTAGTCCACATTGTTTCATTTGTGCCTTACACATTTATTTTTAATCTACCAAAAGGATTAAACAACTTGTAAATTTGTTCTATTAAAATCCTCATACGCTTAAATATCACTTTGAGCAGAATGTTCCCGGAACGGTGGTTTGGTAAGTGTTTCTGAATCCCATTAATCACTCAAACTATGAGACAATTGGCACTTACTTCATAAAGTAAACGGTCATAAGGTTGTCTATCCTGCGGGTGACATACAAGAACAAGCATCAAAGTTCCTAGTACACCAAGTAATTATCCTTCACATTCTTCTCTTCTGAAATCCAATGTTTTCTAAGCTATCGATAGGAAGTGTTATCTTTAACTGTATACGTCATGATAATTTTTGTCAATGATGATTATTCATAGCTTCTAAAAAGTCTTCATCCTCTTCAAAAAAGATTTCTACACAATGACTAAAGCAGAATTTACCACTCTTTGTCCAAGTGGTTTAAACTAAAATGAACTTTCCATGAAACTAGTAAGTGTATTCAACCAATACTGCAATGCACAGTTGATTCATGCTTCCGATTTTTATAAAAATAATAACTAAATTCAATTTTAAATCCAATCGAAAGCGTAATTTGTTGAAAGCCTTTACTTTATTCCGAACTTCCAAAGGTGCACCAGCGTTGCAAAGTGAAAAGGCCACATTTGATTGGTTATGTATACTAGCCAGATGTAAAGCCGTATTACCATGCTAGAAAAAAGAGACATCAAATAATGACTTAGATTTTATGCATAGAAAGAGTTTAAACTTATTACATACTTTTGAATAGTGCCATCACTGATTAGAGATATGTAAAATAAACTATTTAATTTGGATAGATTCATGAATTTTTGATAAGTTGAAAACTGTTTCTCTTCGCAGCTGATGCAGTTCACAAAACTACTTACTAAGTTTCATTTATTGGTACGTAATGACGATTGAAAGTGAAATGAGAACTTGAGTTACGAACAGATTCGAATCAGTGGTTTCCAAATTACCAACATGGCATTTTACTAAGTGCGATACAAGGTTCAGTTGCTGACCACATCTTAAGTACACTTTCTTTTCTAATAGTACGCAGTAGATTTTTTTAGCCCGTATGAACCACGGGTACTAAATTTTATCCTCTCGTTCCAATATACTTGTCGCATGTCATCTGATAACAAGAAGTTATGAATTGTTTGTTGTGAGTTGAATCAATGATAGCTCAGTTTTAGGAATATCTCAACCCATATTTCTTGTTTTTGTTGTAATGTGCATTGTCCAGTGACCAAAATGATCCATTATGAATTAGCATGTTATTTACTGGTGAATCGTGACTGATAGGTTTGTAAACACTGACTTGTTGCGATCACAAGCTCGTTCATCTACGTTTGAAACCGTAAACAGTAGGTGGCTAATTTCAAAGTATCACAGACGAGAGAGCTCGATTAGTACTCTAGCTATATGTAGACGGTTAAAAGTGATTCTGAGGTGTGATTCGAATATCTCAGTGTTTGACCAATGGTATGTAGATATCAAAATTAAACTAGTGTCAAATAATCTTCAACAGGAAACACTTTTGTCACTATAGCAAAAGAATATCGGAAATATATCAATTATTTGGATCTTTTTATCTTGAACTAAGGATGACAACTCAACTTAGAAGAATTTTCGCCTCAAATACCTACAAAATGTGACTACAAATAAAAGAAAATGACGTTTACATATTTATCTTCGACAACAGCTGCCTACGCTCGATACTGAAGATCAGATGGATTACCAAAAAGAATAAGCAACAAGGAACTCTGGCCTGGCAACGAACCAACCAACAACCTACTACCCAGTAAATATGCAGAAGGAAGTGGAGATGGATTAGGCATACACTGAGAAGGCCGACTGGGGACATCACGTGCCAGGCGCTGGAGTGGAATTCAAATGGGAAACGACGAGTTGGGTGTCCGATCTGAGGGTGACTTGGAGGAGATCATGTGAGGAAGAAATGAAAGCTTGTGGGCAGTGGTGGAACTAGGTTGAAAAGATTTCAGAGAACAGAGTGCACTGAAGACATGCTACTGAAGCCGTATGTTCCACTAGGAACCCAAGGGAAAAATAAATAACAATAAATTTATCTTCGAACTCTGAACTGACTACATTGTTATCTGATAGAATAAGAATTCGAAATTTGGAAATAAAACACTGGTTCATCAAGAGTTCATAAAAACTTCAGGAAAATCTAAAATCAGATAACAATCAGTAACTTTATTACTCCAGTTCAAGTCTCCTTATGGCGCCACACTGAGTTATGCATTTGAATCCCAAGTCTTGTTCATCACTTCTGTTTCTCTTTATGTGTAGTCATCTGTCAGTGTATAAGAACTTCTGTTCTCAAAATTATAGCAAGATACGCAAAAAAAGACATTTTTTCCACTAGATCACCTCAGACTTCATCGAAAAGTCCATAACCTTACATGCGTATAATACACTTTACCAGTCATGGTGAATTTTGAGTTCGCGATCGAAAAGCAATGAAATATACAATCAGTAACTAGCAAGATGATGATAGTAAAGATAATAATAATAGTAATGTTAGTGTCTGCATTGGTGATGATAAGAACAAAGAAAGCAGCATTGTACTGCAAACATTCAAATATTCAAAACTGTTCAATGCCAAAGGGTAAAGTGGGTGGACAACCGAATTCCCAACAAACGTGATAGGTAGATGAAAGGAGATGAATAATGAAAAAAGATATTACAAGTTGAAAGGCTGCAACTATCCGTTAGGCTTTCTTGCGTCAAGAAAGAATGAAGACTCATACTAACTTTATCTGAACACAGAGACAAAAGTCATCAACTGTTATTTCTCTAACCTCAGGAATGTGCAAAATACGAATATGACATGTGACCAAAAGCTTTTGGGGAGTGTGATCAGATTTTTCGAACACTGAGCTTATGTACTACACAACCACTATATACTGGATGTGATCAAATCTAACTTCAAGTTAAAATCACTTGTCTTTTCCGTAAGGATAGGTTTAGCAAACCTTCTGTTAAGTTGTTTAGTAGTATGCGTTACATCCTGTCCAAAACCGTTCAAGAACAATATCCCACCTGGCTACAAAGAAGTGACAGGGGATCTATGAGTGCGATACTAGAACACCTAGTAGAAACTACTCATTCATTATAAACAACCATCTCTTTCAAAGTTATTTACAAAATGAAAAGAAACTTGCCAAATTCAGTGCACATCTGCCTTCATGTTGCTTAAGCTATAGCAATTAAGATCGGAAAACCAGGGCCTTGCACACGAAAGAGACTTGTATAGCTCTTATTCCCCTCATGGCCTTAAACTTCAACGCCCGTTTTTACCATTTCCATCCCTTCTCTCTAACTCTTCTTTACATTCGTACTATTAACTACTTGTTACTGTACCCACCCTTATTGAAAATTATTCATTAATATTTTATCATTTTACTCAAATCTTTATTTAGACTTCATCATCTTTACATCCTGAACAATACTCACCTATCTTAGAAACCCTGAATTTTATGTTATGACAATTTAACTTTGCTGGTTAGTATGCCTTTTGATTGCTTCCCAATATCCATATCACCTTGTAACCATGCCTAATAAACTACTTTCACTTATGAAACCAATTGTATATTTTCACCAAAAAATTGTATATAGATGTGATTGTGTAGCTAAGTGAATGCATTTGCCAAAAAGTACCTCTTCACTGAACCACTTTTTCTATTTTCTTATATGTCTTTGTGGAGATTTTTCGAGAATTTTGTAGCTTTCTCCTAAAGAGCAGCTGAATTGGTAAACCCATAGATGGGACAAGACTGAAAGGCTTATTCTTTGTCTAAGCAACAGTGATCTGCCATATGGCAAATATTAGGCAAAGCTAAGCAGCATAAACATTTCTTCTGACAGCTATAGACAGGTTCAGATGTCGTAATTTGTCACATACATTTCTATTAAATTAGGGCTTCACGAATAATGATTTCTTTTATATTGAAAATTGTTCAAATGTCTCGCTAACATTCTTATCTCAATAAAAATTTGGGAGTAATCCACTTCTGTTAGCATACTTTGAATAGAATCTAGCTGTTATTGAATCAAACCAAGTGAACAGGTCCTTATAGCTTTGCTAGGGAGACATTTAACTAACCTGTTCACATTCCAAATAAATACAACATTAAGAAAATGTTTGTACTAATCCATTCATGTGACCTTGCTATCATAGACTCAAAAATCACCATGATTTATTGATTATTTTGTGACTTCTAGGACAATCTGACTGGAAACATTATTGTTCACTTTAATGTCATATTACAGCTCTTAGTATATCCACGTAATCAATACTTATTGTGAAATGAGTAACAAGTGTCAATTGTACTTGGATTACGCACTGGAAATTAAAATATTTACATGAAACACAACTGACTACTAGCATTAATGGTAAGCTAATGGGCAAAACATCTTATGACTTAAAACTTATTCAATACAAATTTGAATAGTGTGTGAAATGATGCTGATGAAAGGGAATATGATTAGAAAACATTTACTGCATAGGAAGATTTCTCATTGTGTTGTTATCAAAGCATGATGGCCTTAACTGCTTCATGTTTGTAACGTTCATTTGAAATTCTGTTCATGTGCTAATGAAGGGCAATCAAAGATACATGACATATGAAAGTTTTATTCAAAGTAAGTAATAAAAGAAACTGATGAAAAGTGCATACAATAAAACTTTTACAGATTTCTATCTCGAAATTCACAGCTGAAAGCATACATTAAAGCGATCAGCGTATAGCTATGGTGTAAGCATAGGAGTGAAGGGTGAAAAGAAATGATAATCGTTCAAAGTGTAGTTCAAACTACGTTAACATTTGCATGTAACATCTTAGTTAGTACGGCAGTGGCATGATAATCTGGGAGTCACCAGTGTGAATTCTGAGATGATTAGCGTTTCTGCTCAACTTAACTCATTTCCTTCTAATTGAACTTATCTCGGGTATGATAAACAACAAATTCATCATTAGTTCAGTATGTGAATCAATGCACTCAAACAATAATATGATCCAGTCGTGTAATGCAGAAGTTTTTTTCTACATATAATGTTTGTTCATCTGAATTTTATAGCCTAGCGAAATTTATTTATATTTCACTGAAAAACAGTGTATATGATGAAATCTAAAATGCAACTAAGAATAATTAATTTTAGTAAATTATTAGACTTCATCCACTCAACATTCGAAAGTTGTTTGATTTCTTACCTATGAAACATGATCAGAACACTAAATATTCTATGTTGAAGTTATCTTTAATATTGTGGGAAAAGTCTCTGAAGTATCTAATTTTGCAAAACTGTCACTTATCAATGTTCAGTTATAACGATTCTGATAGCAGGAAACTGATTAATTTTTCATTCTGCTTGCCACATTTTTAGGTGAGGTTATTACTTGTCGTAACAAGAATCAGATTTCTGAATAAAGGCAAATTGTATGATCTAGTTCTCCTAGGAGAAATGAAGGATCATTAGGTTTGACTAATAGTGCTCCATTTGGCAGTATTATAAGTTGGCCTTGATCAGTAAAGGCCTAATGGACAACCTCGAAATAGAAATTCATCACCAACCTGCTACAAATGTCATTATCTTTTAGTCTAAGCGGCAGCAGTATTTCCGAAAGCGTAATATTACGTTTTAGTTTCACCGGGTGTTCACA